TAGCTTATTTGTAGATTCCCTTGATGGGGATTTTCTTTCTATTGGCTTAAAAGTAATTCATTAAGAAAAACCTATGGGTTTCTGTTTGGGGGCATTTAAATGTGTTATTCCATTATTTTCTTTAAACAGATTTTGGTGAGGAAGGGGCTAAATGAGTAGAATCATCACTTCTACTTATAAAAGCATCTACTTAAAAAACAAATATATATATATATATATATATATATATATATATATATATATATATATATTGACTAGCCATATAGGTTCACACATTTGTTTTGCATTTCTACATAGGTATAAAAAGTTTTATAAAGTCAGGAAATATTGGCCTTTGTAAAATGCTAAGTTGGTCAGGACCTCCTTGAAAGGCTCTCCCTGTGTAAGTTATAACCTGGCCTTAAGCTACATTCTCAGTATATTCCCTGTGTCTCCCCAGTTATACCCTGCAATCTGGACACACCAGGCTGGGTGAGCTTCCTAGATTCACCATACTTCACACTTGTTCTCCACCCATTCGTGTGTCTGTGCTGCCTGCTTTGTCTAGATCAGTGGTTGGCAAACTTACTAGTCAACATAGCCAAATATTAACAGTACAACAATTGAAATTTCTTTTGAGAGCCAAATTTTTTAAACTTAGACTTCTTCTAATGTCACTTCTTCAAAATAGACTTGCCCAGGCCATCGTATTTTGTGGAAGAGCCACACTCAAAGGGCCAAAGAGCTGCATGTGGCTCTCGAGCTGCAGTTTGCCGACCACGGGTCTAGATGGCCAGCAAGGGGAAATGCTTTTCTGGCTGCTTTTCTCACAGGACTTACTCTGTTGGCCTCTGAGACTCAGCGGCTTCTTATTTGGCTGTCTGAATGCTGTCACAGCTGTGGTCTGTGGGTGATTAACTCGTGGTGCTGCGACTGCCCGTGTTCTCCTTCGACTTCTTATCAACTGTGAGCACCTGAAGGACTGAGTGGATTCATCTTCAATTGCCACTCAGCAGCAACTCCACCACTCTGCCATATTATTCCCCCAGAGATTGCTTGATCATTTGCTGTTTTCTTTAGAAAATAGAACCAGACTCCAAATGTAGAGTGGAGATGAATTATTTGTCCACAACTCTCCAACCGTAGCCTGTCTTTATGTTTATTTTTGACTTCTCAGTATTTTTCCTCTGCATTTTGCTTAGTAATAAGCATAGTATATATCTTTGCTGCCACCTGATCTTCAAAGTCCTTATCTTTAATGATTGCTTAACAGTTCACCTAGTGGATATAGTATAATGTACTTTCCCTTTGAATATATAGGTTTCTGTCTTCAAGTTTTAATATGTGTGACGATCATAATGGTAGAATGGATATATTTATAAGCCAAGGATGCCAGAATGAAAATATCATGCGAGCAGGGCACTCAGTGAGCAGGCTGCACAGACATGTCCTGTAGTCAGGCTCACAGTCCGATCCCGGACAGGGCGCAGACAGGAGCGCTGGCTGTGTCTATACATGTTCTTTTCTTCCAAGTTTTGACCCATCATGCCTGAGGAGAGAACAGGGGTGGGCAGAGGAAGGATATGAGCATTGGGATTCTGAAAGCCTTGTTACCAGCTGAGCTCTGTGTCCTCTGGGCAACATTGGCCTCAACTGCTCTGAACACTTCATCTGTACAGAGGATGTCTGTGGCATGCGATTCTTATAAGAATCAAAAGAAACCCAACAAGGGGGGAAATAGATTTGTGGGGTTTTTATTGTGGGATTGGCACTGAAATATTGTGCTGTTTCATCAAATCCTATAAGAGGTACTGGAAGAGATTAACTTGCTCCAAGTCACACTGCTAAGTGCTGAGATCCAAATCCAGTTTGGAGTTCTGTCCTCCCAGGTCCTTTGTCCTGAGGCTTCCTAGGGAGACATCTTCCCACCAGATACCTCTGTGCTCTGAAGTAATGCACAAGGGCCAATCCCAGTGTCTCTGTAGTGAGGCAAGTTCGGGGGGGTGGGGGGAAGCACTTAGAAAAAGATGGACATATTGAGATATTTAGACTATTTTTTATTATTGACCAAACTCATTAAACCTCTGATAAAGAAATAGTGAATATAGTTGTTAAAACCTGACTTCAAGATTTGACCTTGGCATGAGACAGGCCAAAATAGGTGATTCTATAAATGGAGAGTTGACTAAGACCCTATGAGAGGATGCACAGATGGGATGGATATCACTAAAAGTAGACTTTGTAAGGAATCGGGTGTGATTATATCCCAGGGCTGTGGCATTCCTAATGAGATGTGAATGTTATGGAGCTGGAAGGAAAGAGAAAGAGGCCAGTGGTTCTTTTTACAACATGAGGATGATGGGTAACCCAGGGTTGAGGGTGTGCTGGGCAATGTTTGCAGCCTTTTAGACAAATAGGAAAGGGAGCTATCTTATTACAGATGCAGAATTAACCAGGTTTATTTATTTTTTGGCATTCTCTTTCTAAAACACATATCAGAATGAGTAGTATTGTGTAGGGTTAGGGGCCTTTGTGTCGGAATTGGTCTTTCTGTGTTTGAAGCCCTAGCCCATGTGACCTCAGATAAAGTTACTTAAGTTACCTAAGCTTCATTTTATTTATTTATAAAATGGGGAGAATGATGGTAGCACTCATAGCATTAATATAATAAAAGGCTAATATGCAAATTGTCCCCTTGGGAGTTCAACCAACTGGGAGTGCAACTGCTTGCTGTAACATGTGCTGACCACCAGGGGGCGGCATAGAACTAAGGAAGGCCCTGATCAGTCCTGATTGCCGGCTAGGCCTAGGGACCTTACCCGTGCACGAATTTCATGCACCAGTAAATGAAATAATACTTACAAACAGAGTAAGTATTAGATCTTCCACTACCTATTGGGTAATGGCCCAGACTCTTGTAGTCCTCTATGATCTGATCCAATCCACTCCATAGTTCCTATGCCAGAGGTCCAAATGTCTTCCAGAGCCTGGCAGGCAATGCAAACTAGGTGAGGCTATGGCACACTGGGGGCCGTGAGCTCCATCTAAGGAGCACCTGCGACTCACTCTGGTAGCCATTAGCTTTGTGGGAAAGGGAGCCCAGTGTGATGCCCTTTGAAGGGATCCTGGAACCTGGAATTTACCTGAAACCTCCCGGTTATTATATGTGGACAATCACATCAGAATCCTTAACACTGTGAAACCGAGCAGCGCCCGCGTACAGGCTGATCTGGTTGTCAGCCTGCACTCCTTGCTTCAGGCCCTTCCCCTGCCTTGCCGCCTGCGTACTTGTCCTTGAACAGACTTGACTCCCTTGTGCCATCGTGCTTTCAGGTGCACCAGCCACTCTGCCTGGATCGGCCTTGGTACTTTCTCTTTTGAACTGGTTCGTTCTTTCAGACTTGGCTCAGCCTAACTATTTTCTCTGAACTCACCATTCCCTCCTTTGTGATGCCGTAGCTCTTACAGATCATTCTGTTCTAGTACTTACATCTGTTTGCAATGTCTATCCATTTGCTTGTTTATTTTTTAAAAAAAATAATTATTAAGCACCAAAATGTGTCCCAGCTACAGCTGTAAACTAGAGTCTCCCTGGTGCTTGTTTCTGGAGTGATGGTCAGGTGTCCATCCTCCCACAAGAGGGTGAGTGAGTTCCTTGAGGGCAGGGACCCTGTGGTGGTTGTCTGGTGTCCTTAGCAATTAGCCCAGTACGTCTGATACCCAGTGTATTAGTGTCTTCCTGCTACTGCAACAAATTTTCACAAACCTAGCGTCTTATAGCAATACAAACACATTATCTTACAGGTTTGGAAGTTTGGAGCCTGAAATGGTCTCACTGGACTAAGATCACGGGGCCGGCAGGGCTGCATTCCTCTGGAGGCTCTAGGGGAGAAAGAACATGTTCCCTTGCCTTTCCCCGATCCCAGTGGTCGCCTGCATTTCTTGGATGTGGCTGCATCCTTCTCCATCTTCAAAGCAAGAAGTGTAGCACCTTCAAATCTGTCTTCATTATTATTACTTTTTTGTCTTCCTCTTCTTGTAATTATCTTGGGCCCACCTGGACATTCCAGGATACCGTTCCAATCTCAAGGTCATCTGATTAGCAACTGTAATTCTATCTGTAACATTCATCTGCCCTTGCCATGTCACGTAACATATTCACAAGTTATGGGGATTAGAACATGGGCATTTTGGGGGAGACCATTCTGCCTACCACAGCTGGGAAGATGAATGAATAAATGAAGGATGAATAAATGAAACTCTCATGGGTGGGAACGAGTGTTATGCTAGCCACAGGAAGGCAGAAAGAGTAGTAAAAGTCTCAGACTTGAAGGAGTTGGTGGTCAACTGAATTGCGACGTGTGGTGCCGGCTGTGATTAGGAGTTTTCCAAACCTCCCTTCTCAGGTAAACTGAGATTTATAAGCTGACTCTTATAAGCTTTCTCTGACATCCGGGAGTAAGATCAGACCCCTTGTTTTTTTTTTTTGTTTTGTTTTGTTTTTCTCTTAAGATACCCTCCTTCCAAATACTTTATACTTGTGATGCTAGTTCAGTCAATGCCTTTCACTGGATTTCACATGTAACGAGTGAGGTAAGACACATCTGTCTTCTTTCTCAGTGGAGATAGCATTGAACAGAGTGCCTGGCATAGGGTCGGTGTTGAAAAGTTTCTGGAGAGGGTAAATGAATGAGTAAATGAAGAAGTGGAGGAAAATGAAGTGTTTAAACCACCTGCTTCTTGTTCTGCATGAGAGCTTTGTTATCTGGGACCGTGGACTTCCTGACATGGCACACAAAGTCAGGAGGGAAAGCATAGGTACTTTTCCCCCAGAAGGGGGCAAAGACACAGATTCTCAACAGAGTCCGAGACCAAACCTGGGGAAAGAAGCCCTGCTCTCAGCGTGCGGCGCTCAGAGACGAGGGAACCTGGCCACGTACAGACAGGGAGGACACTGACTGGGCAAGGCACAGGCTTCTCCACTAGCGCTAACTGGGCTTTGCATCTTTTTCCATCTCTAGGTGAGGAAAGCGTGCTGCCTCTCCTGGCACAGGACTCTAACTCCAAAGCTCGGAGAGGCATTTTAAGAAGAGCCGTCTTTTCTGAGGACCAGAGAAAGGCTCTGGAGAAAATGTTTCAGAAGCAGAAATATATCAGCAAAATAGACCGGAAGAAGCTCGCCATCAACCTGGGACTGAAGGAATCACAGGTACTGAGGAGCAGGAAGATGGCCTCTGCTCCTGATTTCTGAATGAATACCATGGGAGCCATCCGTTTGGTAAATTCTTGTTGTACCAGGCGGGACCCTGAGTATTATTGAAATGACTTTCTTAAGTTTTTCAGTGGGTGGAAATGTAGGTCATAGTTCCTATTTGGAAATGGGTCCATTTGTTGAGAGTTCTAGGTTTTTGCCTCATTAATTCTTCCCAAATAAATGTAAATGCTATGGATTTATATCATTAAATCGTTTGCTCTGCTTTTAGAAAAGTAGACTGCTTAATTCCCTACAAGAACAGGAACCAAGTTTCCTGTCTTTTTCTTAATTTTTAACCTAAAACCAAGGTATGAATGAGTGACTCATAAATCACTCAATAGATTTCATTATTTTGTACTTTGGGTTTATGTCAAGTATAGTTAAGCGATTTCAAATTCGCAACACTTGCAAACGGTTTCGTATAATTTTGGATGAGACTTGGTGGTCTTTTGGGAGGCACAGAAGACGCCATTTAAAGATTGGCCTACTAATTATAAATACGGCACTAGCATTTACCATTTTGTCCTTATCGCCATATGAAATTAAGCACTATAATCATCCACATTTGATAGGTGAGGAAATGTGGAGAAGTAAACAAAGCCAATGCACCACCACAGGCCACCAGACTCTGGAGTTTGCATTCTCCTTAACCTAGAGCCACCGCATGCAGCTGTGAAGGATATTCACTGCACAGGGCACTTGGCTAAGGGGGATGGCAGCGACTGGTACTCTGCTGGCTTTGCTGGTGCAGGGCCACATCCGCCTGCATTTTTTAAACCAGCTTAACGGCATTGAAGAGCTAGCAGAGGTTCTACTCCGTTCTTCCTCTGATACAAATGACCTGATTGCTAACTTTGGCTTTTATTTCAGCCAGTTATCTTTGGATGAAACTCCCCACAGCTCTGCTTGCTTTCCTTAGGGAAGCGATCTGTTTGTTTCCCCCTCCCCACCCCAACTCCTTCTAGTCCTAGGAAGCAGTATGTGGTGTGGTAGAGGGTCATTGGCTTACATCAGCCAGTCTGTGTTTTGCTCATTGTGTGGGACTGATGAATTCATTAACCTTAACTAACTGCTCTGTACCTCAGGCTCTAACTGAAAAAACAGGGGGTAATGCAGAAATTCTATGTCACAGGAATTTGGGGTACATGACAGATAAATCAGTAGCTATGTCTTGATGGTCTACTGCGTGCAGGACATTGTGCTAGGTAAGCAGTAAGAGGGAATATCCATAAGTACTGAGTTAGATACACCACTCCCACCTTCCCCGCCCCCAAACAGGATTTCATACAACCAACTGGGGAAACAAAGCAGAAGCTCATTAACAGTGTAAGACGATAGGGTGGGAGACATCATCTGATAGGTTAGATATACTGCCAAATAAAGGAGTGCAATCAGTGGTCCTCCGATCAGTGGTCCTCTGGGTTGTAAATCTAGAGCCCCAGGGTAATTCCCATCTTTGGAAAGAACAATTGGGCTGCATCCATGTGGGGAGTTAGTGATGGAACTGTCTGATCCTCAGAGGAATTCTGGGGTCTGAGTGAGGAACACAGAGGGCTGAGTAGGCTAGCCTGCATCCCGTTAATATAGATAAGAAGCTCCAGAATCAGAGGGGAGAAAATGTGCAGGTTTTAGAGTTCAGGGACGTCTGGTTAAATAGGAACTTGAAGTAGTATTAAAAGTAGCTAGGTTTGCCCTAGCTGGTTTGGCTCAGTGGATAGAGTGTCAGCCTGCAGACTGAAGGGTCCCAGGTTGGATTCCAGTCAAGGGCACATGCCAGGGATGTGGGCTCAATCCCTTGTAGAGGGCATGCAGGAGGCAGTCAGTCAATGATTCTCTCTCATCATTGATGATTCTATGTATCTCTCCCTTCCTCTTGGAAATTAATAAAGATATATATATTTAAAGTAGCTAGGTTTTATCTGATGATGCTCTGAGAAGGGGAGAAAATCTCTGACAATACATATGGTCTTTTAAAAAATTGACTTGGAAAAAAGAATGCAGAAGCACAGCAAAGAATATTTATGAGGGATGAGCATGGTCTCTCCAAGAAGACAAACTGTTATCTTCCAGTTCCCATCCATAAGCACAGAGTTTTACACAATTGATTTCATTGTTTTTAAAATTCAAGTGCCTCAGGGATGAATGCTTTTTATTTTACTGAATTTGGTGAACATCTCAGAAGTAATTTAACATTTTGTTATTTGCATATACATCTAATTACACATTTAATACATGGCATTTCTTATGGTAAATTCAAACAAAAGAGAAATTAGAAAAGTTGGAATGAAAACTCATCTACTCCCCTAACAATCCAACTCCTTGGTTACTACTGTCATTTCTAAATGGCTCTTGTTTGAGTTTATTGACATGTCATATATATATATATATATATATATATATATATATATATATATATATATATGTTTCAGAAATGAAGGAAGAAGGAGAGAGAGAGAAACATCAATGATGAGAGAGAATCATTGATCGGCTGCCACCTCCATGCCACCCACTGAGGATTGAGCCCACAACCCAGGTATGTGGCCTTGACCAGAATCATACCTGGGACCCTTCAGTCTGCAGGCTGATGCTCTATCCACCGAGCCAAACTAGCTAGGGTGTGACATGTCATGTTTTTTTTTAAAAAGAAATTTGTATGTGTGCTGTATATGCAATAACATTGCATAATGACTACCATGTGCTCTTACATTTGATGTTGTTATCCTGCCAATGACTTTTATTATTGCTATTTTACAAAGGAATGAGCTGACACCTAGAATGGTGTATCTATATTTTTAAATAAAAATGGGATGATACTATGCATATAATTTGACTTTTTCTGAAGGACAGTACAAACCACCTATATAACCAGCACACACATCTCACAGTAGAACATTACCGGGGCCACTAGCCTCTGGACTATCCCCTCCCAGTCACTACCAGCTCCTTCCACCAGCCTAACATCTAACTGCACAGATCAAATTTGCCTGTAAATAGAATCATTCAGCACATAGACTTCGGTACCCGGCTGCTTTTGTGTAACATGTTTGTGAGATCCATTCGTGTTGTGGTGTGTAGCAGTAGCTCATTAGTTTTCATTGCTGTGCATCCTCACATGACATACCAGTTCATTCATTCTAATGATGGGCACTTGGATAGCTCGAAATTTCTGGCTATTATAAAAGTGCTGCTGACAGTGCCTGTTGTTTTGCACTTTGCTTTTTCTTCCCATTCAATGTCATGGATACATCCTTCCAATGTCATACGTACAGATTTACTTCATTGTTTTTTAGTATCTTATACTAACATTTGCATAGATATACCATAATTCAGTTAGTCATTCTCAAATTTTGTTTTATTTTATTTATCTTTATTGTTGAAAGTACTACAGACATCTCCTCTCCCCCACCTCCATTAGCCATTCTCAACTTTAAGTTACTTCCAAGTTTCACTATTGCATATCTTCATGGGCTTTTAAAATGTTTTTGTAAGATAGGGAACTAAGATTGGAATTTATATGTTAAAGTGTATGTACATTTTAAATTGTGATAGATTAAAAAAATCCTTTCCAAATATATTATTGTATCAAAATACTGAATTATATCATATTTGCACTCTTGATAACAGTTTCTTTTTGCAAACCTTCCGCTATTTATAATTTTTAAAACATTGCAAACTTCACTTGGAATGACTTTTTAAAAATTTTCCTAATTACCTGAACTTGAGGGTCTTTTAATCATTTTACTGGCTATTTTAAATCTTTGAATTGGCCTTTTCATTGCCAAGTCATTTTTTTCTATCATATTTTCTTTTCATTGATATGCAGCAATTATTCTGGCTGTTAATTAAAATTTTGGAATATTATGGTTAGTAACATTTTTCTGTTTTAGCTGTTGCAAAAATCCCTCCAACTTTGTATTGTTTTTGTGGTTAAAATATACGTAACATAAAGTTTACCACTTAAACTTTTTAAAATGTACAATTCAGTGGCATTAAGAACATTCACACTGTTGTGCAACCATCACTTACATTCACCTCTAGAACGTTTTTCGTCTTGCAAAACTGAAACTCTGTACCCATTAAACAATGCTACCCCATTCCTCCCTCCCCCACATCTCTGACAACCACCATTTTACTTACTGTCTCTATGAATTTGACTACGCTAGGTAAGTTGTATGAGTGGTATCATACTATATTTGTCCTTTTGTGACTGGCTTATTTCATGTAGCATAATGTCTTCAAGGTCCATTCATATTGTAATATGTTTCAGAATTTTCTTATTTTTTGCACATACAGTAATATTTTATTGTATGTATATATTACATTTTATTAATCCATTCATCAATGGATACCTGGATTTCTTCCATATATATATATATTTTGCTTTTGCGAATAATACTGCTAAGAATGTAAGTATATAAATATCTCTTTGAGTCCATGTTTGTTTGTTTTTAATTATAGGTGGCATATAATTTAGTTTCAGGTGTACAACATAGTGATTTGACACATATATTTTACTATGTGTTCACCACAATAAGTCTAGTAACCATTTGCTACCTTGCAAAGTTAATATAATATTATTGATTATATTCTCTGTGCTGTCCACTCAAATGGCTTATTTACTTTATAGTTGGAAGTTTATACCTCTTATTCCCCTTCACCATATTCCGCAGTTGTGATTTTTTTTTCCTCAGGCACAATTGACTACCCTATAAGTAAAAAGGGAGGTTAATAGAAAAAGGAGTCTCCCATAGGGTGGTGGGAAGGTATGGCTCAAATTAGAAACCACAATCGTAAGTACTTTTGAGTTAATTATAATCAATTGTTATCTATTGAGCCTAATTATTCCAGTTTGATAAATTCTGGGAGTAATCAAACTTAGAAACTGTATAAAGCCCAAAATTAATCAATATATTGTAAAATGTATTCTTAATTTTATAAAAGTTCCTGATAAGATCTAAATGCTTATGAATCTGGGCATTAGAACAGGACAGTCTTGTATGCTAGTCAAAGCACCATGTGACCTGGAACCATTTCTCGCTCTGAGCCTCAGTGTTCTTGCATGCTAATGAGGACTTGAGACATTCTGAGGATCAAATTCTGTAACCCAGGTAGAGTGCATAGACTGACCCCAGTACAAAACAAACACTCAGATGCTATTACCAATAGATAACATTTCCTTTGAATAAATAATTTAGCACAGACTAAATGATTTAAAATATTGAAGAGAGTTAAATCAGTCTTGAAAGATGTGAGACTCATAGGATGTAACTGATTTACCACAGTTGTCTTGCTTCTTAAATATATGTGGGGATATTGTATTAAAGTACTTTCTCAGTTATTTTTTAAAGATATATTTTATTGATTTTTTTACAGAGAGGAAGGGAGAGAGGGAATGAGAGAGAAACATCGACCAGCTGCCTCCTGCACTCCCCCCACTAGGGATGTGCCTACAACCAATGTACATACCCTTGACCAGAATCAAACCTGGGACCCTCTGGTCCGCAGACCAACTCTCTATCTGCTGAGCCAAACCGATTTCGGCTTCTCAGTTATTTTTGAAGGAGCCCAAGTGAAAAGCCACAAGGACTTTGCTAGACTGGCTGTCATGATAAGGTAGTCTGTAGAAGGCCCAAAAGGAGAAATGAACAGTGTCAAATGCTGGAGTGAATGAATGTCGAATAAGTGAACATTTTATCCAATTGTCTTATCAACAGGTGAAAATCTGGTTTCAGAACAGAAGGATGAAGTGGCGGAATTCCAAAGAAAAGGAAGTGCTTTCCAACAGGTGTGTCCAGGAAGCAGGCCTTCCGGAGGACCCCCTCTCTCGCTCCGCTCTGGGCTTCCCTTCGCCATGTCCTTCCCTCTGGGACGCCTCCCAACAGCACTCGAGTCCTAGGTGGAGGGAGAATTTGCCAGAACCTCCAGAAAGACTAATCCAGGAGAGTTCGGGGCCACAGCCCCCAGAAGCCAATTCACTGCGAGGTGCCTTATATTTGTGTTCTGAAGAAGAAGCTGGAGACAAGGGTGTACTTGTCTGAATGGAAGCGTTCCTCCACGCTAATTTAAAAGAACACTTAACTCATAATGTTTGGACCCTAAAGCCAACTAGCTTGTGCCTCATCAGTGCCTAAAACCTAACAGCGTCGGAGTGATGCAGGAACTAATGCTTTAGGAAACTTTCCCCCAGTGTTCTGTTATTTGGGTCTTAGACTCAGACTTAATTTTTAGGTGGAATAGAATCTCCCAGAAAGTGTGATGGAAGTGAAAAAAAATGAGAGTGGTAGTTGGCTCAGTCTAAATATGTGTGTATATATATATATGATGTGTCTCTATGTGTATATGTATATAAATATTCATTAAAATACATTAGTAGAAACACCAGCTTCTCTTTAAATACTGCATTGAGCAAATTCATCTCCTTTTACATGAAGAACAACCAAACATTGGCCAAATGCTATTAATTTTTAAAAAATACTATAAAAGTTGGATTTTAGTCCAAATTTGTATATCATCAGAACATGTTTTTAAAATTTTTTCTATGTTCTGGTTTCATTCAGGAACCAGCTGTAAATGAGTTTTAACAACTCAGCAATCCCAATTAAATGAGCCAGTGTTAGATACATACATTGAAAGTATATGCTTAAAGTTAATCCAACAAGCAAACTAGAAGAATTTCTGGATGTAACTATTAGTATTCTTAATTTCCAAGTCTCTAGATTTTATCAGGCCATCGGTGAGAGAGGTACCCATTTAACCAACGATTATCTTTTGAGCTCTTTTCTGTAAGGATGGGCCTTAATCAGGGTTTGCAAAGTAAAAATGCCTGTAAGGGCTGTCAGATTAAAAAAAAAGGGGGGGGGTGGGCATGACCCACCTAACAATATTTTTAAAATAGTGTGTTGACCAAACAAAATATCTGTGCCAAGCTATTTGTGACCTCCAGCTAAGACTTCAAGAAGTGTCACAGTTTTTTAAATGTTCCCATTGGACCTCAAAATACAATACCGAAGGAATCTATAGTGATTTCTTTTTGCACATCTAGATAGAGACTTGATTTTCCACTTAGGTGGTATACACTATGTATGTTAGGTTATTTTATGTATTAACAAACACCAAACAGATGTTTTATGTTTTGAATACCCTGAAATAGTATTATTATAAAATTGCCTTTCTGGTTATGATTTGCTTAGTTAATCTAGAATTTTTATTCCAGGTCCAAGAAAAAATTATGTTTTCCTTTGAAGGAAATGAGGCAGAGAAAAGGAAATGATATGGCTTGAACTAGGTTCTTATTAATCTGCAGACAAGAAACGATATTAGAAGTTCGTGATGTGGCATCTTGTTATTGGGAAAGCTACATAAAGAGAGTGGCTTCCAATGTGCTTATGTTCTTAACTGTAGGCTTGGCAGGTTTAGAAAAAGAGCATTTCACCACTATGCTGTACACCTGAAACTAATATAATGTTGAATGCCGCTGTAATTGAAAAAAATAAAACAGTATAAGAAAAGAAAAGGTAATATTTCAGAAGATAATAGTTTTAGTCAGCACCAGGAAATTATTTTCTATGAATGGCATTTGAATTGTGTCTTTATCACAAGATCTTTTATTGAAAAGACATCTCAGCAGAAGCTTCTCAGTGCCTCCTTGTAAGAAATAGAGGCAGAAATCTTCTGACAGTAAAGCGAAATTTTAAATTAAAATGTTCTTTATTTTTAAGTTATTAGTTTCAGGTGTACGACATAGTGATCAGACAGTTATATAACTTATGAAGCAATCACCCTGAAAAATGATTTATAGTGGGTTTTTTTTTCTTTATATGATGTTAACCTCATTTACAGTTAATGGGTCCATTCTATGTACTATACCTTTAGGGTGGGTTAATTTATGACAATAACCTTCTGAGTAGGCACTATTGCTATCAGTATTCCTGTTACCCAGACAGGGAGCCTGAGGCAATGTGGTTAGGGTGATTGGCCCATGAATAAGTGAAATTTGGACCCTGGCAGTGAAGTTTCAAATCTTGAAATCTTACCAGCTATGTGGGGGTGCATATGGGATGTATTGTAAGATGTTGTTACACTTTGAGAACTGCAGTGAAATTTATCTGAAAAGTTCAGGACCATATTATATTTTACAATTTCTTATTTGGGGGATGGTTTTCCTTTAGTATTTTCTTCTCTGTTCACTTTAAAGATTAGGGAAAATAAGGAATTGCAAAAGCCTTAGTCATTTTTGCTCAGTGGAGAGAGCATCGGCCCGAGAACAGAAGGGTCCCGGGTTTGATTCAGATCTAGGGTACATATCTTGATTGCAGGTTCCCTCGCCCTTGTCGGATGCATGCACAGAAGTCACCCAATCAATGTGCCTCTCTCACATAGATGTTTCTCTCTGCCTCTCCCTCTCCCTTCTACTCTCTCTAAAAATTAATGGAAAAATATCCTTGGGTGAGGATTAACAAACAAAATAAAAAAAGAATTGCAAAAGCCTTTCACTATGAAGCCTCTAGAGATTAACTCCACAGGAGTGTAAAATTGAATTTTTTTTAATCACTCATTGCTAATAAGTACTTACCTACAGTCCATTTCTATTGAGAATACCTGGAAAATCAAGAGAGAAACTGTCATGGCCATTGATTACCCAGGTATTAGAAGGGGGCTAATGGTATTTAAGTGATCTTCCCCCAGGATTTTACCCTATACTCAGACTCAGCAGAGGTTTCTCTTTGTAGGATTGGCTTGATATTTGAATATACAAATAAATCTTCTAATTGGTTTCCACTTTGGAATGTGGTAGGCTTAGGAAAAGCACTCTTTGGATGAATATATCAGGAGTACCTAGGAAACACAAGCACATACACACAGTACACATATATATGCCTGATACGCCCTTAACTTGGCCTTCACATACCTGAGTTGTGGGTAAGAACTGGAGAGCTTGATATTTTAATTGACAAGGGTCTCCCTTCTCTCTTACCTTTTGTTCTGCTATACCTCCATTCACCTACCGTGTATTACAGGTGTATTTTCCTCTGTTATCTACATGCTCTCTCCTTTTCTCCATGTGATCACATATTAGTGTATTTGTTGTTTTCCAGACAAATACTGCTCTAGTGAGCACCAGAACCATAGAATTCTGGAGTCAAAAGTACTTAAAAAACTTTTTTTTAAGGAAATCGTCAAATGGATCTTAAGCAGATGAGGACAAAATGGTGAGCACCATCCTCTAGCATCTATCAAGATGACTACTTTAAAAAGCTAAATAGAAAGGGCTGGAAGTCTGTAATCAGGTAAGAAAAAAGTCACTGGATGTGAAGACAGAGAACACCACAATTACTGATGTTTAAAGGACAACTCTTTTCTCAGAAATGAGGTGGTTTTAGTGGTGAACCTAGTTATTTAGGCCAATGACTCTTAAGCTTTAAAAATCCACATACATGAACAGGCCATACCTTCCAATCCAATTTTGAGTACATGCTCAGATTTGAACATATATTTCATACGTACTCTTCAACATCCACACCTTCCTCTCTATCCCTGAGGATCATGATACATATATATTTTTTTCACTTTTAAAGTATAAAATCACAGTGAAATATGCTTGTCCAAACCATACATATTCCTTCTGGCTCCCTTCATTCTCTATTCTGATGCATCCTTTTATTTATTTTTTAAAGTTGCATTTATTGGGGATAACATTGGTTAATAACACTACATAAGTTTTAAGTATACAATTCTGTAATACATCATCTGTATGTTGATGCATCCTTTAAAAATGTACATACTTCCCAAAGTGCTCCACCACTCTTCCCTTGATGAGTAATGATTTCATCAAGGTCTGCTAGCCTTTTTTTAAAATGGAATTTATTGGAGTGACATTGGTTAATAACATTATATAGGTTTCAGGTACACAATTCTACAATATATCATCTGGGTCCACTGGCCTTTTAATGCAACAAAGCTCATTACAGTTTGTTCATAAGCCTTGTGTTAGATATTGCCTCTACAGTCATCTGAAATCAACAAATACATTTTTTCTTTCTGGACTTCAACACTTACTGGGCATTGTCTGAGGTTATCTGTACACAAACGAGGGAGAGCACGGTTCTTGCCCTCAGGGAATTTACAACCCAGTTTTCTTGTCAAACAACATTTGAAATGTTCCATGCCACAGGTGACTGGAACCAGTAAGTTTGGGCAAAAAATAATCTAACATCCTCCAAAACACCCATTTCCTCATTTGCAGTGGTGGTGTTGGTTGTGATAGGGTTAAATATTAAGTAAGCCACTATTCAGAAAAATACAAGCTACTTTGCATTGCTGGAGTTCTATGCTATCATTCAGCTACATTGGTCAAAAGAGGAGTCAGAAAGAGTCCAAGGGAAGAATTCAGTAACTTAATTTTTCTCACTCTACTGTCTACTTTCTTCCTTCTCTCTTCTCAGCCTCAGATCAGCCTGTACTCATGGTGGGTGGGAAGAGTGAAGTAAAGGTAAATAACACAAGTCGTGGGATATAAAGACAATGAGTGTTCTTTAATACACAGGGAAATTTTTACAGAATTTATATATTTTTATAAACAATTTTTGAAATAAACAACCTTTTTTAATAACTACCTACCTTAAGGACATAGCACTAGACCCACAAAAATGGTCATTAGCTTCCAGCTGTTGGTTGTGCTCTATTACATTATTATTTTGGTTATAAAAATTACACATGCCCATTATAAAGAAATACACCTGAACATAGCTAACAAAGAAAGATGTATGTGTAATTCTGCCATTGGGAGATAACCAATTTAGCTCTCTTGTGAAAATTTTTCACTATTGAATGTATACATATGTAAATATGTGTGTCTAAACAAATTATCCTGCTTTTTTAAACTTAACTTTATACAGAGAACATTTTCCCATGCCATTAAAAATTTTCACTGTTTATGATGGTTGTGTAATATTTTATTAATTCCTTCACTTCTTGAGGTGGACCAGGGGATGAGGCCAGGAGGTGGTAGGTCATGGAAAGAATGACCATGGGATCCTGT